ATATTTGACATAATATGAGGAGACAGACACGGTCAACTTGAAGCTATCACCAGTTAAGCATGAATTTTTTAAGATAAACATATTTACAATGTGCTGTCGTCACATAATATGATAATAATATAGCACTATATTAAATTCAGTTTCAAATATTAATTGTTTTGATAAATTAAATTTATTTTAGAATATTTGACGTTTCAAATACAATACTCTTTTTACACAAATGAAGATGAAAGCTGGTAGTATTAATTATTGGGGTTTGATAATTCTCTTAAATTCTGCACCAAAATATGCAGCTTCTTGTTAACGAGTTCAACGTAGATTCAGGCATTCAGCTTTCTTCCAACTCAAGTTCCTTGACTTTATGTACAAATGGTGATCATTGATTCAAACAAATTGCTAGAACCCGACAAAGAAAAAAAAAATTAATCTTCAATATCTATGTTTTTTGTTTTTTCTCTTCATTTTTTTATTCTGTTCTTTTTACAAAATACTAAAATATTGATGGAGTAAGTTATATATATATAGATATATATGATAGAAATTATTTTTTGTGGTAAATGTTTACTGATCCACGAGAAAACTATTGTCTAGTACACCGTAAGGGGTGCTAGTTTATTATAAGGCTCATTAGTCAGTATAACCTTGAACACGGTACACTCTACATCGTCTAGAAAACGGTTAGGGTAAGCAAAATGGTTAAAATAAAATAATTAACCATTTATATTATTCATTAAAAAATGAGTTGGATAATGAGCTTTTTAAAAACGGGTCAAATATAGATAAAAACCATATTATCCTTTTAGAAATAACAAATGGATAACCAATGAGTCTAACTTTTATATTTGTAAAGTCTCAAATTTGGGGCTCCTCAAGTTAGGGAGACTCAGTATTCTCCCAAAAGTGATCATATGCAAGAAGTCATGGATAATATGGTTATCCATATTATCCGCAACCCGTTTTTTATCCGTATTAAATATGGGTCGGACCAGATAATTTATCCGTTTTTTCGTTACCCGTTTTCGACCCGAACCATATCTGACCCGCCCTGCCCGTTTGCTACTCCTAAAAACGGCCAAGGTTAGATATTTCTGTATTATTGAGGGGCTTTAGGTTGTAAAAAAAAGGGAGTCCATTCCTCTTGTGAGGATTCTTGACGACAATGATACAAATCGTGGTTCCTACAGATTCGCTTCTACTATAGAGAAACTCGTAAGGGGTTGTTTAGTTGGAAAGAATTTATCCCAGGATTAATTATTCCATTTTTTTATGGGTGTAAAAAAACACTACAATCCCGAGATAACTAATTCTGGGATTAATTATTCCACAATTTTCTACCAATCAAATATAGGATAAACTCTTCTTAAATTTAATCTCGAGATTAATTATTCCTTATCCCTTGTACTAAATAAGCCCTAAGTCTTTTAAGATAGTAGTATTTATGGGTTAAAATACATTAATTTGAATATAAAAAATTAAACCCAAAAGAAAGAAATATTTGCTCATGTTGAATTGAACTCTTCAACCTAATAATGGATCTTCCTTGAAATGGTGAAACAAATGATTGAACAGCCAGCCATTGTCCTCACAAAATAAGTATAAAATTATATTTTTAAAATCAAAGATAGCTGGAATCCCATAACAGGTTGGTGAAAGTGTACTTCGTGGGTACTTCCTCTCCAAAGGAAAGAAGAAAGATGCATGTTTTGATTTGGATTTTGGATGGTGTTGATATATATAGTCCAACCAGAAAAGAAGAATTGGACATGTACAGTTCAGCAATAAAATAGTACTATAAAAGGCTAAATACCCTGCAATAGAATGTTCAATTATCAAAAGTACTATTTTTTTTTTCTTTTGGTTTCACAATCCGGTATTCGTATTAGAGCGTAGTTAAATCCGAATCTGCATCGAAAAGTTTCACATTGAAGATAAAATATTCCATAATAAAGATAATTCCATATCTCAAATTCAAACTCGACACGATTAAAGATGAAGGAATACTTATGACTCCATCATGACTCATATTAGTCATATACTATCATATACTCAAATAGGGTGGCAAACGAGCAAATCGGGTCGGATATGAATATGCTAAAAACAATTAATGCAAAATCTGATAAAATATTCGGCTTGATCCATATTTAATGTGGATAATAAATGAGTTAACCGGCGGATAATTTTGGATATTCATATTATCTGTGGCTTCTTGAGAAAATTTCTAACATGAGGAACCCCTAAGTTGAGTCTTTATAAATATAAAAGCTAAACTCATTGGTTATCCATTTTAAGTGAATACTATGAATTTTATCCATATGGGATCCATTTTTAAAAAGTTCATTATTCAATATATTTTTTGGTAGGTAATATGAATAGATAATTATCTTTTTTATCTATTTTACCACCATTGTACTCAATTGAAGACAAAGATGAAACATATATATATATATTCCATATATAAATATTCAATAATTAATTGGGTTGAAAACTACTCAATACTCATGCAACAATTCTATTTCTTCAAGGCTTATAAAATAATCAGACAACTCATTGTTCAAATTAATCATTGACTTACGTGAATGCGTGTCTAGAATTATAAGGAGCATAAGCCAAATAATGATTTATCCAATCACCCAAACAAGTCTTCCTTTGGACCTTGAAATATTTGTTTGGTTTGATCTCCTCCCTACGTGTCCCCCCCCCCCC